ACTCATGCGGTGGGTGTGACTCGTGGCTCCTCTGAGGGTGCTGAGCGCGCTCTCTCGGGTTGGCTGAAGCCGGGCCTCAGAAAGGCTGGGGAGCGCGCGCGGAGTGGACGCCGGGCGGCGGGACGAAGACACGTGTCTCTCCTGAAGAGCTTGTCTATGCTCGTCGCTAGCCGGGCGCTGCCGAGCTCCTTTTGCCGGCTCCTAAGTCCTTCCCGCGTCCAGCCTTCTTTGGTTGGTTACGACGAGCTTTGATTGTGGCTGAGTTGCGGCAGCAAAATGACCCAACTCACGACTAGGTGTTCATCGTGTGCACCTACTGGGCCTCCCTGGCCGGTCCTTTCCCAACACAGTTTCATCTGGACTTTCTGTCTGATCTGCTTTGAGTGATAAAACGAAACTGGTGTTCTAATGACTTCCCGAGCTCCTGAAGTTAGTTGTGAAGTAGGCGTCCATGGAGAGGATTTTAGGAAAAGGGAGAATTCCCCATTTGATATTGGAGTGTGGGGGCAAGGGAAGCTGCTTTAATTGGATGAGGAAGTATAATTGGAAGCCTCAATCTGTCTGGGCCATGTTCGCTAGTAACCGGGCTGTGGATGGCGTTTTACCCAGGAGGAGGGAAGATAGCGCCTACTCAGACTGACTGCTTCAAAGATTTACCTTGATTTTTGCCTGCAGCCACTGTAAGGTCTCCATTGCAGGATTCTTTCTTCTAACCCTGTCTTTTGTCTCTGCTGAAGATTTTTCTTGTGCTGGGGACTTTTGAACTGTAAAAGCATTATGGTATTGCTGTCATTCATCCATAAAATGGAAAATCGTGAGGAGTGTGCCCCACATCTGTTTCCCAGGGCTTTATCCCAGACCTGATCACTTCCTAAGTTTTTCTCAAGTTCACTGTTGCAGGGAGGTTCAGGGGCATTGACACTTTCCAGGTGTTTTCTCGTGCCATAGTCCACTTGCACTGTGTAGCTTTTCATCTTAGCCTGTATCTCTTACATTCTCTTGTATACTTTGAATATTTCTATTGAAACATTTAGGGGGTAAACTAAAGGGAAAAGCAATTAGAATGTACCTCCACATTGTGAATTTGGCCCTAAAATCTGAGCTGGCTAATCTTCCCCTAGCTCCTAACACTCCCGTTGGTGTTTTTGTGATAATGGCTGCTAGCAGCTTCCAGAAGGCCACACTGTGCCATTGTTATGGGCCCTATTTATTGAAAGGCCTATTGAACTCAGTCCCATTTGTGAGACCCTGCTGGGGCAGCCTTAAGATTTGCATTGCTGCTGTAGGCTGTGCAACTTGTGCTTGCCCCATTGTCTTTGGGATGGAAATGGACACTGCCCCAACCCAAATGCCCTTTATCTTTGCCAGAACTTTGTATGGCACCACTTTGCTTGCTTTCAAACTACAATTCAGACAAGTAGACAAAGCAGTACTAAATCCTTAATTTCTATATGCATATTAGCATTAATTTCAATAATTGTCATTTGTCTCCTGTAGTCCCACCATGGACTCAGTCTGGTCTCATATCCTCCCAAGGTGGCTTTGAGGTTCCAGGAGCACAGTGCTTCTTTTGCATCATGCACATGGGACACAAACCACTGATGCAGATCTTGGCTATGCTGTTAAATCTTGAGATCCAGCCAGACACTTGGTCACTCCATCCTTTGTGTCTGGAATTGGGTACAGAATAGCCACAGAGAGACTGGGAAGGTGAGAGTATAGAGCCAGGGCCTGGCAAAGTCAAACACCCAACAGATGTTAGTGGCTGGGAAAACAGCTGTCTTCAAGTAAATGGAAATGATTAGCAGTTGGGATGTGGAGGCAGAGGACTCAGAGTTCAAAGTTTGTCATTGGCTTTATAGTGAATTTGAGGCCAGCGCTGTTAAGATCCTGGCTCAACTCTTTCCAACCCCCAATAAGAAAATGAAGTAGGAATTTTAACTCAGGCTCACATGCAACTTTATACTAAATTAGTTCAGTTCTAATGATTACAGGTCCCTTTTTCAAAGAGCTAACCACCATAGACCCAAAAACCTGACAATCTGTAGGGAGATGGTGGCACTCACCTTTAATCTCAGCACTCTGGAGGCAGAGGCAGGCAGATTTCATGAGTTCGAGGACAGGAAGGGCAGGAATCCTATCTAGGAAAGAAACAAAAGAAAACAAAAAACCTTGACAATCCAAGAAAAACCTAAGGATGGTCAGAACTGTGTAGTTTTTCAATGGGCACTGATGTCAGGTAGTCTTAACTTGTTAAGTGTTTTCTAATGGACCTGGCTTTTGGTTAAACTTTTTTTTAATTTCCTTTTCAAATGAGCTTTTCTATCCCTTCCTAAAGCACTTCAAGAAATGCTGTTGATGGATGGGGCAGGGTTCCCCTTCCCTCCTAAGAAGACAGTGGCCTGGCATCTGCGGTACTGGGTGTCCAGCCTTCATTTTCTGTTGAAGCATGACTGGCACATTTTGTTAAACCTCTGTAGGGCACTTGGGGGCCTCATTTTATACTTCCCTGCCTTACAGCCGGCAATCTGAGAACTCCAGTTACATTACACTGCAATAGGCCAACGCCTTTTTACCTCTTTGGATGAAACACATTTTAGATACTTTTGTTGTTGCTTTTGTTAACTAACCCTTGAGTAGCTGGTATTTGCATAGCTTTTCAGCCAGTCCTAACCCCTACTCTTGCCTTTTATGTGTCAATCATTCTTTGACTTTTAAGTTGTTGTGTGTTTTTTTTTTTTTTTTATGTGTGAGGTCATACATTCTCAGCACTTAGGCCTAGTGAAAGAAGGTGGGACCAGGTGTGGTGCACACCTATAATCTCAGTAGTGAGAGGCGGGGACAAAAGGAAATCTGTGCGTTAGGCCAGTCTGTTCTACGTAAGAGTTCCAGGACAGCCACAATTGCATAGATAACCTGTCTCAAAAACAAAACAAAAAATAAATGAGGAAGAATATGGGCCATTCACTTATTTAAAATTCACTCTCAAGTGGCCTCTCTTCAAAATGCACGTGTTGTTTTTATTTTTGAGGTAGGTGGTCTTGAGTAGCCTTGGTTGGCTTTGCATTCACTATATAATGGAGAATTACCCTTTTTGGTTTGGGTTTTAAGACAGGGTCTCTTTATGTAGACCTGGCTGCCCTGGAACTCACTGTGTCAGAGAAGTCTATCCACCTGCCTAAGCCTCCTGAATGCTGGGATTGAGGGCATGCCCCACTATGCCTGGCTATGGATAACTTGAATACTGATCTTCTACCAAGTGCTGGGATCACAGGTATTAGCTGCCATGCCTAACTAAGGCAGTTTAAAAGTCTGACCAGGGGTCGGGTAGTGGTGGTTCATGCCTTGGGTCCCAGCACTCAGGGGGCAGAAGCAGGTGGATCTCTGAGTTCCAGGATAGCCAGTGCTGTTACACGGAGAAACCCTGTCTCAAAAAACAAAAACAAAAAAAACAAAACAAAATACACACACAAGTCTAACCAGGTATCTGAAATATGCATACAAATTCTTTTACCATATTGCAGCTGTATACCTGTGCTCTGGACATCAGGGCAGAGCTTTGAGGTAATTGTAAGGATTCAGGCATTATGCTGGCCTGCCTCTGCCAACTGGCAGAATGCACTCAGGCAGTACCTTGGTCAGCCCAGGTGCAAAGGACCCCTTTAAAAGAAAGACCTCTGCCCACTTATGCCAGGCTGGCTCTTTTCCTCTCTCTTTCCTGCTGTTCCCCTGGGGTGGGCAGACAGGATTTTTCTTGTCTCCCTCTTCTCTTCTGTCCTATGTCTCTGTGTCTCTTTACGTCGTTTCTTGTTCCTTCCCCTGTTTGCCCTTTCTAATAAAACTTCTCACTAAGCTCTGTCTGCCTAGCATGTTTGTCCCCCTGCCTTGGTCACTCTCAATTGCCATGGAATCTGCCAAGGTTCCCCTCAAAATTTATCCTAACAGTAATTCCATAAGTCTTCAGTGGCTTCAGTAAAAACTATTCACTTTTTAACTTCCCAGTTGTGCCTGATGAAGTTTCCCAAAGGTTGGAACTTAAGGTGGGTGTGGCTGTTTGTGACTGGCACATGAAAACCACATTTTGTGAGTGTTTAATTAAAAGCTGTGCTTCTGGAATATCAGAGTTTAGAAGGGAATGCTCATCCATATGCCCTGATCTAAAGTAGACAATGCTGCCAGTATGGTGGTTTTTCTTCCTAGTCTAGGCAGTTCACTGGTTATACCAGACATCCCAATATAGTGAGTCTTTAAATCAGGAAAATTATCTTCAGAGATGATGAACCTAAGATAAAAGAGCTTTTTACAAGACACATAAGAAGGGGTCTGGATCAAAACCCAGCAAAGGATCTAGGGCATTGGCTGTATCCTAATGCCTTCCTAAAGGTCTCTGGGAAACAAGGGGAAGAACTCCTTTACTCTATCCTCCCAGGTTGGGCCTGACCCCAGATTAGCACCTATAAGTTCTGGCAGGAGAACCCCTGGCTTCCATGGCTACTAAGCAGAAAGGTTACATGTAAACTGACATAGCAAAGTTGAAGACTGCATGGAGAAGAGAACAAAATAATACCTCTTAAATTGTCTTTTATCCTGTTCAGAATCTAGAATGATATTAGCGGGGTAGTAAAACTAATTTCTGATCCTCATTACTGTAAATTATGACTCTTAAAAAATGTAAAGTTCCATATGTGGTCTGTCTTACCCCTATACCTGTATATGTGTGTTTCTGTGTAACCCATCTTGGCCTTGAACTCTTAAGTCCTGCCTCAATCTCCCAAATGCTGGGATTTACAGTCATGAACCACGAGCCCAGGGATGGCTCCACCCACAGTGCCCTGAGCCCTCCCACATCAATCACTACTTAATAAAATGTCCTATAGGCTTGCCTATAGCTCACTCTTAAGAGGCATTTTCTTAATTGGGGTTCCCTCACTTCAGAAGACAGCTTGTGTCAAGATGATATAAAATAGTTCTGGGTTTGTTTTGTTTTGTTTTGTTTTTCTAAGACAAGGTCTTACAACGTAGGCTACGCTAGCCTCAAACTCAGACATTTGCCTGCCTGGAATTGGGCTGGCCCATAGGAAAGAGACCTCTTAATGAGTCCTGGGAGCCTGTTAGTCGACTATCATTGACTGTGTTTACTCTGTTTATAGAGCCATGAAGCCCCCAGGAGGAGAATCAAGCAATCTTTTTGGAACTCCAGAAGAAGGTATTCCTTCAAGCAAGCCTAATAGGATGGCATCTAATATTTTTGGACCAACTGAAGAACCTAAAAACATACCCAAGAGGACAAATCCTCCAGGTGTGGTCTTTGTACTTCTTAGATCCCTTGGCTTTTTTTCTTTCTAAGATATTGTGTTAGGGTTATTTATCATTGCTGTGATAAAACACCATGACCATAGCATGTTGGGAAGGAAAGGGTTTATTTGGCTTATATTTCCACGTTACTGTTCATCATTTAAAGAAGTCAGAACAGAAACACAAACAGCAGGAACCTGGAGGCAGGAGCTGATTTAAAGGCCAGGGAGAAATGTCACTTAGCTTATTGGCTTGCTCAGCCTACTTTCTTATAGAACCCATGAGCAACAGTCCAGGGATGACTCCGCCTACAATGGATTGGGTCTTCCCACAAAACCACTAATTAAGACAAGGTCTTACTACATAGACCAGGCTGGCCTCAAACTCAGAGTTCTGCCTGCCTCTGCCTCCCCAGTGCTGTGATTAAAGACATACACTGCCCAACTTGTTCTGGGTTTGTTTGTTTGCTTGCTTTTTGTTGTTATTGGAAGACAGAATCTGTGTGCCCAGACTGTGAACTCAGAACCTTCCTGCTTGTCTCTGTGTGCCTCACTTTTCTTTTTACATGGGTTCTTCCAGACACCTTGCATAGCACCTTATCCCTCATGAACAGTTTCTTTTAAGGGAAAGAAGGGCTTTCCCTGACTGTCTCTTTCTCTCTTGAAGGTGCCTAGAGTGTCTTTTGTGTTCCATCTACATAGCACATGACCTGCTGAAGTTGCCAAGGGTACTGGGTGATGGGTTTCTGGGAATCAGCGCCCCTAATATTCTGAAATTTTATGCAAATTGTACGGATCAGTTCTAAGACAGTCAGGGCTACACAGAGAAACCCTGTGTTGAAACCCCACCCTCATAAATTTCCATGGATTGCTTCTTTGGTTTTTTATTTGTTTAAGATTTATTTACTATGTATACAGTGCTCTGTCTACATGTATGCCTGCATGCCAGATCTCATTATACATGGCTGTGAGCCACCATGTGGCTGCTGGGAATAGAACTCAGAACCTCTGGAAGAGCTGCCAGTGCTCTTAACCTCTGAGCCATCTCTCCAGCCCACTTCTTTAGTTATATGGTATTGTTTGACTTTTCCTGGGGAGATATAAACAGACTTCTGGTCACCCTAGATAGCCCATCAGCAACAGACCAAATAAACAGTCCATCCAAGTCCAGCTTGGTAAACCAAGTTTACTGGCATGTTTTATAGGAGCATCAATGAAGGGTTACCTGGAAGGAGTATGGGTGACTCAAATACCTCCATCACAAAAAAGTCCTGTGTCAACATGGATAGTGGCCTCCTGAAAGTTGCATAGATTAATGCCCCCTTGAGTTAACTTCCATGTCGTGTGTATTCTAACATTTCCTGACACCCTATGTATCTGGATCATGATTACATATAGCTGGATACTATATCAAATGATATATAGAGGGAGTGGCTGGAATTTCAAGTGAGGGTCTAATGACCCACCCATCACCTCCTATGAGGGCACTAGTCAACGTCTCTCTTGTTGAGGGTCTCATGCAGGTAATCACAGCTATTTGGGTTATGGTAATGTCTATGTTATACCTGGAAGACAGTGCTCCATATCATATGGGAAGCATAATTAGCATGTATTGGTTATTTGCACTATGGACATTGCCTCAAGCATTTGTCCTGGGAACACCAGCAACTTACAGAATCCTCACACAACCTAAGAGATTGGTCCATACGTTGTCCTCATTGTACAGTTGAGGAATTAGAGGCATAGAAAGGCTGGGTAACTTAGAACAATATGGGTAGTCTATGGGGGTATTTTTTCTGTTGTAGATTATAGCTTTAGTTGGTGTACTTTGGTGTAATGCTGTGGGAAAGGTGGGTGCTTGGTATCTACTGAGTGAAGACATCAATTGGTGTTTTGTACCTTTTCCCCTAACCTAGGCATCCTTCTATAATGTCCAGGCCTTGGGCTATATGATCTGCTTGAGATGCACATTTCTATAACAGCTTCATAAACTCGGTGGGCAGCAAGGAGCATGTCTCTTAACTTGTTGATGTCTAGTCTCACTACAAATTCTAGCCAGAAGAAGGTCAATGACTAACTTATTTTTCAGATTATAGGTTCACCATGAATAGTAGTGAACTAAACATTTAGTTATTTACTTTCAATCTGTTTAAGAACTTCCTGAGGCCAGGCAGTGGTGGTACACATCTTTAATCCTAGCACTTGTGAGGCAAAGGAAGGTGAATTTTTGTGAGATTGACACCAGCCTACAGAGCAAGTTCCAGGACAGCTAGGGCTGTTACACAGAGAAACCCTATCTTGGAAAACAAACAAAAAAAGAACTCTTTCTGATTAACAAAGGAGACTTTCCACTGGAAAACTTACATTGTTCAGCATTAAAGGATTTCTGGGGAGAGGTTATATTTTATTCCTTCTCCCTTTTAGAGTCCAGCCCAGGGCAGCTTGGTTGTATACATGAAAGCTGCAACAGACCAGGTTAAGGATTAGCTAGGATGTGAGGCTTCAGGGATTGAAGTTATTATCCTACCCTATTTCCCTGGAACTTAGGAAGACGGTAAGTCTTTAATAAAAGGTTGTCTCTCCAGGTAACAGTGGAGTAGGATCAGGTGGGTGTTCCAATGTTCATTACTCTGTGATTGTTTCTGCAGGAGGCAAAGGAAGTGGTATCTTTGATGAATCGACTCCTGTGCAGACTCGACAACGTCTAAACCCACCTGGTGGGAAGACTAGTGACATATTTGGGTCCCCAGTCACTGCCACTGCACCCCTGGCACACCCAAACAAGCCCAAGGTATGGACAACATATGGAAAAATAAAAGTTGTGCCAACTTAATTCCTTATAAAAGTTCCAAGGCAGCTGTGACACAGTTAGAAAGAGACATATAGACAATGTTGGTTTTCCAGGTATGGTCATTCATCATTAGATTTGGAGTCACCAGAAAACATGTTTCAACCTCATAACTAAATCCCTGGGGGAAGCAGTTCTGCTCGCCTTTCTACACAGCAGCTGCCTATCTGTGCTACCCTGCTTTGTGTACATGAAGTCTGGTGACTGAGCACAAAGCATAAGGGTTTGACCCTCGTTGATCTTTGACAGGAAAGATGATGGGTCTGTTCTTTCTATGGTACTGGAGATTAAACGTGGGACTTAGTACATTCTAGACAAATGCTCTACCTGAGAGCTACCTCCCCTGCCCAAGGTGGCTCTTGATGGGCTTTCCTCCACACAAGGCTGAGCTTGTGTTACTTGTCTTTGAGGATTTATGGTGCTAGGCAAACAGGATCACAGGCCTCAGATCCAGTGAAAGTACCCTTGTAATAAAAGAACATGATCTTTGCCTGTACTCCAGCTCAGGAGCTGCTGGGAAAAGAATATCAGAACAATGTGGCTTTGGACTTGACCTTTGAACATATGATTAGATTTATGAACTCTCTGGGCTGAGGCAGAGGCTTGGCCAAAGCCAGCCTTAGCTGCCTTCTGTCCCAGAGATTACTGGTAATGAAGCCCAGGACTATATTATTATTATAATTATTATCAGTATATTTATGTTATTTAGTATTTTTATTTAAATTTTTCTTAGATTTTTAAATTTTATATGTATGACTATTTCCATGTATGCATGTTTGTACGCCATGTGTGTGCCTGGTGTCTGATGAGGTCAGAGGGCAGGAGGTGCCCTGGTTCTGAAAGTTATGAATGTTTGTGTGTGATGTTAATTGAACACAAATCCTCTGCAGGATGCTACTCGTGCTCTTAATTGCTGAGCCATCTGTCCATCCCCTCACCTCCCTTTAATTGGAGACCAGGTCCCATACTGTACCCTAGACTGGCCTCGATCTCTCTACATAGCCCAGGACAGCCTTAAATTTGAAGCAATCCTCCTGTTTTAACAGTCCAAGTACTGAGATTTATAGATATTTTTTTTCCACACCAGTTTTTTTTTTTTTTTTTTTTTTTTTTTTTTTGGGGTTTTTTTTTTTTTTTGGACATTATTTTTCTTTATGGTGTTTTGTTTTGTTCTGAGACATAGTTTCTCTCTGTATCCTTAACTGTCTTGTAACTCACCCTATAGACTAGACTGGCCTCAAACTCACAGAGATCCACCTGCCTCTGCTTCTGGAGTGCTGGGATTAAAGATGTGCACTGCCACGACTGCCCGGCCCATGAACCCACCAGTTTTTATTCAGTGCTAGGATCTTTGTGTATGCTGAGCAAGTATAATATATATGTCTCCATCCACCTTCAGTTTTTCTCCATCTTTTTAGTAGCCAAAAGATAGGGTCTAGCCAGATGTAGTGACACAGGTCTAGCTCGTTAGAGGTAGAGACAGGAGGACCAGGAGTTGAGAGTCATCTGCTACAGTGTCTTGATACCAGCCTGGGTAACTTGAGACATTATCTCAAATTAAAAAAACAAAGAGAGAAGGCTGGGTGGTGGTGGCTCAGGCCTTTAAGAAAGAGCCAGGCAGATCTCTGAGTTCGAGACCAGCCTGGTCTACAAGAGCTAGTTCCATGACAGCCTCCAAGGCCACAGAGAAACTGTGTCTCGAAACCCACCCCCACCCCCCCAGAAAAACAAAGTAGGTAGGAAGGGAGAGAAAGGTTCTATACCAACATTTCACACCTGTAATTTCAGTATTAGATGCTTAAAACAGAAGATCCAGATCTCAAGACAAATATCGATATATGGTAAGACCTTGCCATATTTGTTTTGTTTGGAGAGATGGTTCAGTGGTTAAGAGCACTGACTACTGTTGCAACACACATGGCAGCTCACACCTGTCTGTAACTCCAAGATCTAACACCCTCACACAGACATAAATGCAGGCAAAACACCAGTGGAAATAAAAATAAAATTACTTTAAAAAACCAGCATGGTCTACAAGAGCTAGTTCTAGGACAGTCTTCAAAGCCACGGAGAAACCCTGTCTAGAAATACTCAAAAAGAAAAAAAAAAGAGTAATAAGGTATAGTTTTTTTTTTCCCCCTGACCCCACCAAGGTACAGCTTTTTAAAACAGGAAATTCTTTTTGTTGTTCTTGTTTTTGTTTTCAAGACAGTTTCTCTGCGTAACTTTGGAGGCTGTCCTCTTGTATACCAGGCTACTCTTGAACACACAGAAATCTGCCTGCCCCTGCCTCCCGAGTTCTGGGATTAAAGGTATGTGCCACCAGCAGGAAATTCTTAGCCATTTCTGGAGTTATGTATGGGAAATCATTGGATTTAATACTGCTCATTGCAGTATTAAAGTAGAGATTTAGAGACTTAAACAAGAAAAGAACAACAAATGGAGCCAGACGGTGGTGGCACAGAACTCTGTGAGATCGAGGCAGCCTGGTCTACAGAGTGAGCTCCTGAACAGCCAGGGCTACACAGAGAAACCCTGTCTCAAAAAAACAAAACAAAACAGCAACAAATGGGAGTGCAGAAATCTTGGCTGGCCTGGTCAGATCACCCATGTTTCCTGCTTGAAGTGTTGAAGACCATCCAGTGGATACTAGTTGTATTGGTTTCAGAGAGAAAAATCTTTGTGTTTGTGGGAACTCTACTGCACTTGCACTAGATCAGAGCTGCTCTATGGAGTAGCACTTCTCCACTGAGGAAGGGCCTGAATTAGCTGTGAGTGTAAATTAAGTGTAGCAATGCAGCTACTATTCAGTGCTGGGAATTAAACCTAAGGCTTTGTGTGTGCCTTAGGAACATGTGCTCTACCAACTCATTCCTTTTCCATAGAACAAGAGGAATCAAAAAATACTTGCTAAACATTAGGGTCCTTTGGCTCAGGAGCATTGTTTATCACAAGCTCATTAGAGATAGGGCCAGTTTCAGGATGAAATCAGGATATACAAGAAGCCTGAAATGTCTTATAATACCAGAGAGCCAAGAAAGTATCACAGATAATAAGAACCAACGGAAAGAAGAGGCATGTTCCACAGAGAAACCATTGGGTCATCAACAAGGACAGTAATTGCAATGGATTAAAACTCGCCAACTATTTTGAGTTTGTTGTTTGAAAATAATCTAATTTTAGACCTTTAGAGGTTGCAAATAAATAAATAAATGTTTAACAGAACAGGGCGTGGTAGCACATGCCTTGCTGGGCGTTGGTGGCGCACACCTTTAGTCCCAGCACTCGGGAGGCAGAGGCAGGTAGATCTCTGTGAGTTCGAGGCCAGCCTGGTCTCCAGAGCGAGTGGCAGGATAGGCTCCAAAGCTACACAGAGAAACCCTGTCTCAAACAAACAACAAAAAAAAATCAGGGCGTGGTAGCACATGCCTTTAATCTCAGGAGTCAGGGGCAGGTGGATCTCTGTGAATTCCAGGCCCCTTAGTTCCAGGATAGCCAAGGACACTTAGACTGTCTCAAAAACATGTGCCCCTCCCCCAACCAAAACAAAACCAAAAAACAACCTTGTTTAGCAGAGTTTCCTGTATGAAGTGTAGTGATATTAGCTGTTAAAGAAAAGTCCCCTTGGGCTGGAGAGATATGGCTCAGAGGTTAAGAGTGCCGACTGCTCTTCCAGAGGTCCTTAGTTCAATTCCCAGCAACCACATGGTGGCTCACAACCATCTGTAATGTGATATGGTGCCCTCTTCTGGTGTGCAGATATACATGGAAGCAGAATGTTGTATACATAATTAATAGATAGATAGATAGATAGATAGATAGATAGATAGATAGATAAGTAAAATCTTTAAAAAAATAAAAAGAAAAGTCCCCTTTACAAAAGTACTGTAAGATACCAGCAAGATGGGTCAGTGGGTGAAGCTACTTCTTGCCCAAGTCTGAAGGCCTGAGTTTGATCCCTTGGACCCACTAGGTAGGAGGAGGGAACAGCCTCTGAAAAGTTGTCCTCTGGCCTCAACATACATATCATAGCAGGCCCCTCCCCAACCCTCAGTAAATAATAAATGTACTTTAAAGTTGAATACAGTGGGTGCACCTGTTAATGGAAGCTATTTGGGAGGGTGATGCAACAGAATTGTGACTTGGAGGCTAGCCTGAGGAGCATAGTAAGATCACAAGGCAGGGGGCTGTATTCCAACTTGTAAACAATGTATAATCATAGAGTAGTAAAATACCAGCACTTTGTAAACCTGGTCCTGAAGGGGTAGGCTTAGATGATAGTCAATAGCTACTAACAGAGTAAAATAAGAACCAACCAATAGTTACAGCTTCCTAATAAAAGTCCATCATAGACCACCTCAGGTCAGCATCTCCCAAAAGTCAAGCCTAAGTAGTCTCAAAATGGAAGGGTTTCTTTTGGGTTTAGTTTGTTTGTTTTTTAAATTCAGTGCTCTCTTATCAGCATGATGGAACACACGTTTTGTTTTGTTTTGTTTTGAGACAAGGTTTCTCTGTGTAACAGCCCTGGCTGTCCTGGAACACTCTCCAATAGACCATGCTGGCCTCAAACTAAAAGATCTGTCTGCCTTTGCCTCCAGAGTGCTAGGATTAAAGGCATGGGCTACTACTGCCCAGCAATCAACCGGTTGGTTGGTTGGTTGGTTGGTTGGTTGGTTGTTTATGAGCAATCTTTACAATTTGGAGCCTGGTGTAGTTACTTTTTCAAAAGCCACATCTTGAGGTACTTACGAAAAAATAACTAGGATTTATTTTGGTATAATCCGGAAGGTTTAGAGTGCTTTGTTGAGACGTGGATGGCAGTGAGCTAGCACCACTGTTGCAGTTCAGCAGGTTACATGGGCTCACTCACAAATGTTTTGCATTGCTAGAGATCAAACCCAAAGAGGCTCTTGCACTAACCATTGAGCAGCAATCTAGCCTACTAGTTTATTGTGAAATTGTATTATTTTTAGTTACATGTGGGTGTCTGCACATGAGAGCAGGTACTCTCAGAGGTATCATATTCCACTGGAGCAGGAGTTACAGACAACTAAGAACTGATCTCAGGTAATATGGAAGAACAGCAAGAGATCTTAACCACAGAGCCATCTCTCCACCCACTGCAAAGATCTTAAAGTTTAAAAGTAAAGCAGACTTAGCCTGGGGGGGGGGGTCACTTTAATCCCAGGACTCTGAAGTCAGAAGCTGGTGAATCTCTGAGTTTGAGGCTAGAAAGTTCCAGGAGAGGCAGGGCTACACAGAGAAACCCTGTCTCCAAAAAATCAAATAAGCTGGGCGTATGTCTTTAGTCCCAGCCCTTGGGAGGACAGAGGCAGATGGATCTCTCTGAGTTCGAGGACAGCCTGGTCTACAGAGCAAATTCCAGGATGGCTCCAAAGCAATACAAAGAAACCCTGTCTTGAAAAAACAAAACAAATGAACAGTGAAGCAGACCCTATAGTGCAGTCTATAACCCCAGCTGTTCAGGAAGTTGAATACCTGCCTGCCTACAGAGTGAGTTCAAGCCTACACTTCAGAAAATTTTATGAGATCCTGTCTCAGAAAGTAAAAAGAGAACTTGAGGATGTGGCCTGGTGGTAGACTGCTTTCCTGGCAAGCATGAGGTCCTAGGTTCAAGCCTTAGGTGGCAAGATTTAAAAAAAAAAAAAAAGCAGTCATCCATCCTCAGATATCCTTGTCTACCTGAATGAGTGTTAATCTGATGGCTTTTCTTATTGTAGGATCATGTTTTGCTCTGTGAAGGTGAAGACTCTAAATCTGACCTGAACGGTAAGTGTATTTCCTGCCCCTTCTATGAGACTTTATGCCAGAAGAATTGCTAGTATATTTGGCAAACAAAAGGTAGCATTCCTCCATGTCTTCCAAGACAGCTGACCAAATCAATCATGAGAGAGTGGCCAAGAGGCTGGAGAGATGGCTCAGATGACTCACTGGCCATCTTCAGAGGACCCGGGTTCAATTCCCAGCATTCACAACTGTCTCTGACAGTTGTTCTGCACCTTCACATAGACATATATGCAGGCAAAACACCAATGCACATTAGATAGATAGGCAGGCAGGCTAAGGGGTTTAGTGTTTAAAGGGGGCTGGGGTCATGAGCATAGTTACTTCTGGTAATACTTTCAGGTTTTCTTTTCTTCTAGAACAGTGATTCTCAACCTAATGCGACCCTTTAATACAATTCCACATGTTGTGGTGACCTCCAACCATAAAATTATTTCCATTGCTACTTCATAACTATAATTTTGCTACTGTTAGGAGTCATAAATATCTGTGTTTTCCAATGGTCTTAGGTGACCTCTGTGAAAGGGTCATTCAACCCCTAAAGGAGTTGCAACCCAGAGGTTGATAATCACTGTTCTAGAAGCTCATTTGTGCCAGTATGAATGGTGGGGATCCAGAATGCTGCATGAGCTTGAGACCAAGTGGGGCCTAGTAGAATTCAGAGCTTACTCAATATTCAATTAGCGTAGCTTGCTTCATAGTGTAGTTACTGCCTCTCACAGACAAATATTGACTTTGTCCCACAGCTACAACAAACTCCACACCCAAAGGAGAACAGAGCGAGAAGGGAAGCTCAAAAGAAGCAGACCATGCCAAAATACCAGAGCCTACACCTACAGTTGACAGTCATGAGCCCAGACTGGGGCCACGACCTCGTTCCCACAACAAGGTCCTGAACCCACCAGGAGGCAAATCCAGCATCTCCTTCTATTGAGAGGCTCCTGCTCTACCTGTAATCAGACCAGACACTCAGAGATAGGGTGTTGAATGTTAGTGCTTCTTTTAACCCAAACAAGTCGGGGTGGGAGAGGGTTTGTCATGCGTATGGGGTTGGCTGCTCATGGGCCTTGTTGCCATTGGAAGAGTGGCAGAGAGAGAGGACTGTGCCTTCCAGACTGCCAAGATACACATCTGTGGGGATAAAATGGGGCGTTCTTATGCCTCCTCTCTAGTTGTTCTGTGTAGAACAATAAGGTTCTGGGGAGGGCAGAAGAGACAGTTCCCATTAGCAAAAGGATCACTAGGGTCTATCTTACTCTGTATCAGCAATCTGCTGGCTGTTGGACATCTAAGAATGGCTTGATCAGGGGAAGAAAAAAAAAAAAAAAAAAAACCAGTCTACCTATCCCTCACTGGTATGGAGGAGAAACACATAAACGGAACTCTTAAGACAGAGTGAAGTCTACATAGCCTCTCCTTTCAGGGAATGCTTATCACCAAAATGTTCCCACCTCTAAGATTACCTCTGAACCCTAGTGTCTCCTCCCCTTTTCCCCCCCTCAGTACATCACCCTATAGTGTTGGAACATGACTGTTCTTTCTGGTAGCAGTCAACAGAAAGTCAAACAGTTATTGTAAGTCTTGTCCTGAGTGGAACGTTTTATATCCTGATCCTCTGAATTGTGCCCTTCCTGCACCTAAAACTGTGGCCAGGTCTAGGTAGCAGCCTGTCTTCCCCTATGGTTGGCTTGGTTCCTGCCATGCCAGAATTGCATATGGGTTTTGTTTCTCTCATCAGCCTTAAATCTGGGCCTTAGTTCCTCACCCGTGAGGGGGCTCTTGCTATCCATGGTTCTTCTATACATAAGGTCTCGGGCCTCTGCAGGGCATAAAACACTGCTCTGATATGTCCAGGTATTGGGTGAATTCTTGGTTTCCCATCTTGCTTTGTTCCTGTAGTTGGGAGGAAGACCTGCTGAAGGATACTGGGATGGACTGGTTTCTTTACCAATCTACAGAGGTTTCTTAGGAATACCCATGGGCTGTGCTTCTAACACCTAGAGAAACGTCACTGTGGTCCACCAAAGCAAAGAAGCTGCTTCTGACTTCTCAACCTCGCTCACAAACAGTGCTCCTTGGGCCTGGGTATTAAGTGTTTTGGTAATAAAGTCACAACTGTCATCTGACAGCAGAGATAGTGGGCTCCACAGTCATGCTGCTGCTACGTGTCCCTCCTGGTCAGCCCTCAAGGGCTGCATGCAGCCATGGTTTCTTCTTTCCCCCTTCCGGTGGGCGTCTGTGTAAAGGGCTAAGTGGTGCTACTTTTGTTTCTAGTGCCTACAGAGCTTCATAGCAGATGCCAGAAATGTCCTCATTAAATTTTGGAAAGCGACCTTTTTGAAGTCACACTTATATTGACCTAGATGTTTAAGTGCCTGCAGGAGCCACCTGCCAAATTCTGCTTCCTACACCTGGTTCATTGAGGGGTCTGACCATGGCTTTGTCAACCAAAGAGTTTTTCCCCTTCAGGTGCCCTGTATCCTGAAGCTAAGAAACATGTACTACATGTGTGTGATTCTGTAACAATTGAAATGGGTTGTGGTTTAGTCATGAGGATGTCATTTGAAATTCAGAGCATTTTTTCCATTTTAAGAAAATGTCATAAATGTTTGCTTTATTTAGCCCAGACACTAATGTCTTTAACTTATAAGGAAATAACACAATGATAGAAATAAACCTCTGTTGTAACTGCTTTCTTAAGTAGAAAATGATTTGTGAATTCTAAATTGGATTGTCAAGAAGGAATCTGACTTGATCACTGCGCAGGCCCTGAGGTTAGCCCACTGAGGAAAGCTGCAGCCCCACTTGCTGGCCTGGGTAGCTGGGAGGGAACTGGGCCTGAGACAGCTCCCCTATCTTTCTGTTTTTCTCTGAAGCTGGGCTTAGAGCATGGGCATTCTGCCTCCTGGAAGGAGTTGCTACCCAGCTAAACCCAATGGTATACAGATGTTATACAGTTATCACTTGCATTAAGCCTTAAAACTCTTTTTAAGTGCATTTGGTGCCAACATTTTTCTAGCACTGTGTCAGCAAGAAACCTGTCCTTACATCACAATGTAATTTTGATAGTAATGTTTTGTTATTTTTATGAGGCAGAAATGGGTATAATGGTTGAATTAAACTTAGTAACCACATACTTACAGCTTGTGTGTATTTGTGTATGAGCTCCTCCATAGTTGGGGGGGGGCACAATTCCTGAAACTGTGGCCCCTTTTCATAGCTTTCTGTTCATAATGATTACTTCTCCCTTCCTTGATCTTGATCTAGAAATGTCCAAGATAATCATGTCTTAAGATTTGAGCAGAATTAATGAGCAATATGCTGTAACCTACTATCTAGTTTTCTGTAGTTGAAGCGTATTCGTTAGGACAAGTGATGTGAAAACTTAACTGGCTCAAACTTGGCTTTGAAATAACCCAGTAACAAGCCTTGCATTGATGAGGTGGGGTGTCCAGCTATTCAGCTTTGTTGAGAAAACATGGGTTGAATGTCTTTGCTGTGTGTTTATCATCTGTTTTCATATGTCCAGTCAAACTCATATCCTCATGTGAATTATATGGACTGTGGCAGAGTGACTACCTACGTAGTGAGTCTCTCTGAAGTTTAACATCATTCTGAATACAGAACCAAGGCTTAAGATATAAACCAACACTTCACAAGCCAGGAGTGGTGGCACACATCTTTAATCCCAGTGTTTGTGAGGCAGAATCAAGCGGATCTCTGTGAGTTCAAGGACACCCTGGTCTAAGTAGGTAGGTAGACTGATACTTCACAAAGAAAATAAATGTGTATTACCTGAAACAACATCTTAACTTGCTTGTCTACACATAATTAGAAATGTAATGAGTTTCATGAACTGGATTAGAAACTGACAATTCAGTATCATGTTAGCAACTGTTCCAGCCCTGGACAGGCACTTTAAGATGTCTGCATGACTCCAGAGGCTGACTCTGGGTGGCTCTGTCTGTGATAAGAGTGAGGAGGTGAAAATGTCACAGTTGCCATCTCTAGTCTCATTTGTAGATAGAAATAATGCTGGAATTACATGGTTTTGTGTTAGCTCCTAAACTAACATTCTATTCCTAATTTTTAGCATTCTGAAATCCAATTCATGACAGAATGAAAGAGACATAGCAGGGATAATTGGGCTTTTTCAGACAATAGGGACATGATTAAAGTAGCACTTTTGACATGTATTACTGGGATAAGACAACATAACCATGACAACTTATAAAAGAAGTATATGGTTCCATAGGTATGAGTCCATCACCGTCATGGCAGGGAAGCATACAGCAAGCAACCATGGTAGAGCAAACAACTCACATCTTAAACCTCAAAGTCTGGCCCCAGTACATACTTCTTTGAACACAGCCACACTTCCTAAGCCTCCCCAAACAGCATAGCATCATCAACTGGGGACCCGGTATTCAGATGTCTGAGGCTATGGAGGGATAGTCTGTCTTATACTTTATGGCCTGTTTGTTTGTTTGTTTGAGACAGGGTTTCTCTGTAACAGCCCTAGCTGTCCTGGAACTAGCTCTTGTAGACCAGGCTGGCCTTGTGATGAGGGGAGTTCTTTTTGTGGTTCAGTCTGTTCTGTAAGCTTCTTGTACTTTCATAGGCATATCCTTCTGTGGGTTGTCCTGGAACTAGCTCTTGTAGACCAGGCTGGCCTCTAGCTTACAGAGATCTGCCTCCTGAGTACTGGGATTGAAGATGTGCACCACCACAGCCCAGCAACTTTAGGGCCTTTTAATGGGACAAAATATCCTAATATACCTTCCAACATCCAGGATCAGAAAAACTATACATTTCAATAAATACCTATTATGTCATTTTTGTTAAAATTCAATTATAGGAGCTGGAGAGAACACTTGATACTTTGCAAAGGAATTGAGGTCAGTTCCAAGCACCCAGGAAGGGTGGCTCACAACCACCAGTAACTCCAGCTCCAGGGAATCTAATGGGTCTCTATTGGATGGATACCTGCATTCATGTGAACATATCTACTACGTATACATAACTTTAAAAATATTTTTTTTTTTAAACTAGGAGGTGGTGATGCAGACCTTTAATCCTAGCACTCAGGAGGCAGAGGTAGGTGGATCTCTGAGTTTGAGACCAGCCTGGTCTACAGAGCAAGTTCCAGGATAGCTAGAGAGACAGCTTTGATTAGTTCCAAACAAACCTACCTCAATCATGTTACAAACAAAGGAGTACCAGGCTCTGTGGTGCACACCTTTAATCCCAGCACTCCTGAGACAGGCAAGTAGATCTCCATGAGATTGAGGCCAACCTGGTCTACATAGTGAATTCTTAGGTCTATGTAGATAGACCCTGTCTTCAATACAAAGCATGGGGGTGGGGGTTACTTTTTGAGTTAATGTTAAGTTGGTCTGTACCTGTGTTGGTACGAGGTGCCCCCACTGTGGTGTACTACAGTTAAACATTTACAGGGACTGGGTATGATGGTACGCAACTTTAGTCCCAGTACTTGGGGAGCAGGGACAGATGATCTCTATGAGTAAAGAGGACTCTCTGGTCTACATAGTAAGTTCTAGGACAGCCAGGTCTACATAAACCCTGACTTAAAAAAAAAAAAATTACAGGCAGGGTTCAAGTTGCTGAGACAGACCTAAGATAAAATACTAAGACTGCCGGCCCCTAAGCACAAGTGTGTACTGTGACTTGTTTATCACAGGACTGGAGTCAGAGCACTTGCTGTGCTAGCAGAGGACCTGGGTCCAGTTCTCAGCACCTACATGGTGACGCCTCAACCATCTATAATTCCAGTATTGGAGATTTAATGACCTCTTCTGACTTCTATGGGCACCAGACATTCACATGGTATATACACATGCAGGCAAAATACTATACCATACAAAGGTAATCTTTTTAAAACAATTTTTAAAGAATTACTCATTTCACCCATTTGTCCTGATTGCTGATTTTGGCAACTTAAAATTAACTTGGGTGGGACTGGCAAAATGTCCCTGTGAGTAGAGCACTGGCTGCTATTCCAGAACCCACATGGCACAACTGTTAATAACCCCAGTTCCGGGGAATCCATTATACTCCTCTGGGTTCTGTGGGCACCAGGCACATGCAGATCAAACACCCATGCACATTAAATAATAAAACTAACTCAGGTAGCATTCACTGCAAGTACTATTGCAATAATACAAGGCCTTGGCTTTGCATTCTTGGAAGGAAGGTTAAGTCAGTATCAAACCCCAGGCAACCAGGAAGTATAGGGTATTCACCAGGGAAGACTGCTCAGACATGGTTTTTGGTTTGGTTTGGGTTTTGGTTTTTCTAGACAGGGTTTCTCTGTGTAGCCTTGGCTATCCTGGAAGTAGCTCTGTAGACCAGGCTGGCCGTGAACTCACAGAGATCCACCTGCCTCTGCTTCCTAAGTGTTGGGATTAAAGGTGTGTGCCACCACAGACCAGCTTGGACTAAGCATTCATAATTAATATTAAGCTTCTGTGTGGTTACTTGGGAGTGGGCTATACTAACTGATCAGGAGTAATTAGAAAAAAAATCTTGCCAGCCTGGAGAGATGGCTCAGAGGTTAAGAGCCATACATGGTTTTGTTGTTGTTTTTGTTTTTAGCACTTGAGAAGTCTAAGCCTCTCCAATTTTGCAGCATCATTTCTGCAAGGGAGTACACCTGTTGTTTTAATACCTCTAGGTCCTTATCAACCTGTCTACTTAGTTTTGAGAGCATCAGAAGAGACACATTTAGTTGAACCATTGGTATATGCCCACCAATAAATTTCAGTGCCTCGTTAATATTGCTATCATCCAGATGAATTAGCCCACAAGGCAGAATAGCAAGCATCAAATTAAGTGGGAGGGCTAGCCTACCAGCACTCAGGAGGTAGAGGCAGGTGAATCTCTGTGAGTTTGAGGCCAACCTGGTCTACAGAGTAAGCTACACAGAGAAACTCTGTCTTGAAAAAACAAGAACAAACAAACAAAAACAAAAAGAAGCTGACTGGCCAAAATAAATTTCAGTGGGAAAATCAGATTCGGAGAATTCTGGGAAGAAGAGGGCAGAGTCAGAGGAGTCAAAGGAGACAGAGAAGCAAGAAGGACATGCTAAACTGAGAAAAGGTACCAAGTCACATGGCAAAGCATAGATAAGAAATATGGGTTAATTTAAATGTTTTAGCTAGTAACAAGCCTGAGCTATTGGATAAGCTTCTTTTTGTTTGTTTTCCAATACAGAGTTTCTCTATGTAACAACCCTGGATGTCCTGGAACTCACTCTATAGACCCGCTGGCCTCGAACTCACAGAGATCCACCTGCCTCTGCTTCCTAAGTGCTGGGATTAAAGGTGTGTGCCACCACTGTCCATCTTGGACTAAGCATTCATAATTAATATTAAGCCTCTGTGTGGTTACTTGGGAGTGGGCTGGTGGGACAGGAAAACTCCACCTACGATAGTCTGTAACAGCCCCAACAATGTTTAAAAGTCCAAAACTCAAAGTCTCTTCTGAAATTTATGCAGTCTCTATAATTCCCTGTAAAATCAAAACCAAAAAGCAGATCACATAATGGCACAGGATATACATTACTGTTCCAAAACATAGGGAAGTGAGCACAGTGAAGAAACACTGTACCAAAGTAACTGAAAACCATCTGGGCAAACAACCAAACTCTGCATCTCCAGGTTTGATGTCAAAGCACTCTTCAGATCTCCAACTCTTTTCAGCTTTGTTCACTGCAACACACTTCTTTCTCTTGGCCTGGTTCCATTCCCTGTTAGTTTTCCTAGGCAGGTATCCCACAGCTCTGGCACAGGGTACTTCCATGTCCCCAAAGTTGGGGTTAAAAACCCTTTTGTAATGTCTTTTGTGAACAGACAGATGAAAAGGTTTTGAGACATCTGGAAATATTAGGGCTAGAGCTGAGGTCAGAGCTGTTTTTAAAGCCTCAAATGCCTTTTGATCAGTCTCAGTCCAGATTAGAGGCACAGAGTCCTTCTTTGTGCTGAGATAGTTCCACAAACTGGTAACCAGAGGCAGCAACACCTGGCTGCACCTAGGCACTTTAAACCCATCTCTTAGTCTTTGGAGTTGGAATTCGAAGGATGGTAACAATCCTACACTGAGAAAGGCTCTTTTTGC